TCTGCCAACCATGACACATAACAAATACACGTGACCTGATCTATGACGTCACGTGAAACACTCTGATATGATGAATCATACTTCTGAGTGTTTAAATAACACCAGAATTCGATCGGGCATCCAAAAATAACCCAGAAAGCATACCTAACATGCCATATGTCAGAAAACACCGAAATTTTGGTACGCGACTGAGCTTAATTGAGCTTAATTGGTCAATTAAGCATTAACCGTTTAATTTATGAATAAACTGACTGTTGGAATCGACTCCCCGCCCCAAAATACCCCTAGTAACATGTATAACATGACTATAAAGTGTTCAGGTAAGATTTACACAATTTTCCCATAATCGCGAAAATCGGAAAAAGGGCGTGGCCCGTAAAAAAGTTTCCGACCAACAAAAATTTTGTAACTTTTTTTAAGGTTTTATATGGACCAATACCAACACATTAGTGAAGAATCCAGCTTGTTTCACTCGATTTCCCGGTAGAGGCCTTTTTTGCCACTTTATGACTGGACTAAGTGGCGGGTGTATTTTAAGATGGCGGGGCTCGACGGAGGCCGGCCGCCAGGCTATGTGCTCTTGGAGAACCCTGCACTAGCTATGGACGCAATGCAGGCCGATCGACAGCCGAAAGAAATTCAATTCGCGGTCAGAAAAAATATAAATAAAGTGCGTTTTTTTCGCCAACTTTTTTCTTGGTTGTCCATGGGACAATAATGTCTACTATTGTCTCTATTGTCAGCTATTGTCTCAGACTGGTTAGGTTGTCCGGCGCAAATTCTGGTTGTCTCGGACAACCGGACAAAGCCTTATTTCGAGCACTGCTAGCCATAGTCTAATTCCATTCCTGGTTTTCAGCTAACCCTAACCCTAATTTAGGGCCACCGTACACACATACACAATCACCATACATGATCAATATCACCTTCAGCCATAGCCTAATACCAATCCTGGTCTTCAGCTAATCTAACCCTAACCCTAACTCGAACGCTAACCCTAATTTCAGGCCGCCGTACACACATACACAATCACCATCCATCATCAATATAACCTCTAGCCATAGTCTAATTCCAATCATGAACTTCAACTAACCCTAACTAATACTATTACCCTAAACTAACCCTAACCCCACCATATACAGGGGCAGGGGAGTTACATCCCTAGGATCGGTACAGCTAGACGACCAGGGTAATCGACTACATAGTGAGACAGTAGCGCTATCGGCGAAGCGCAGATAAACGCTAAATAAACGGAAAATGCTAAAACATTTAAAAAAAAGCGTGAAAACAGGGACTTTAGCTTTTCATCTTCCGCTAAAAAAATGCTCTGTCCCGGCGTTAACAACGACTGTCTTGTCGTAATCACAATATAATACTGGTGATGTATATATATATATATGTATATATATATATAATATATATATATACATTATTGATCCTGCTGCCCATGGTTGTAATCGTGCACGGTATAGACACCGGTGCAGTAATCAACCCATATCATTCGTCATAACGCTAGCCTTCGATTTCATATACCGGCATCAAACCCCAACGCCTATAAATTACGCCCCCCCCCCAATCGTTTGGGAGATTCACGGCGTCAATATACGTAACCGCGATCAACGTGATAAAATACTAAATGGATTTTAAGCACATTTCAATCCAGAATACGTCAACGGAGGTAGCTTTTAACTCAAATATACCATTTTTTTGCGAACCTTGGAGCAG